TGAATTCTCTTTCTGCAATCTTATTAAATCTTTATGGAGATTTCCTTTTCTAATTTAATAAGACTATCTGATTCATAAGACAGAGTTAATGTTAATATCCCACAAATGAAAATATTGATGAGAACACTGTAAACACAATTCTCTGGTTTTGTTCTCTGGTAATTTAAGTTTGCTTTGACAATGCTGAAATCAATAAAAATATTATACCACCTATAAAAGAAAACAACACCAAATGATGAGCTGTCCTTACTGGCAGGCTTGAAAATTTAAGAACTGATATGAATTCTATGTAGAATGTGTACATTTGCAGTTCACAGCAGATCTGAGACAGTATTTTTCCACTTAGTTAATTAGTTAGTTTTCCCTAGCTGTGGTAGAAATATCAGTCATATACTTGAATAACTGCAATTAAACTAGATCATTGTATAGACTTTTAAAATGTTCTAAATGTACTCCCCTAGGAGCTCTGGTAGCATAGTACTTAAGGCATTTGACTGCTAACCAGAAGGCTGGCAGTTCAAACCCACCAGCCACTCCCCAGAAGGAAGGTTGGGCAATCTACTTCCATAGTGATACTGTCTCGGAAACCCAAGAAGGGGTCGCTATGAGTCAGGTCTGACTTGATGGCACATAACAACAACAACAACAATGTACTTCCCTATTTTCACCACTGAAAGATGATTAGAAAACTAATTTTCATTTTTTTAAAAATTGTCCAATGTTAGCATATACATGCATATTAAGAATACTCAACTTTGGGCTATGGCCTTTATGCTCATTTTCCCTATCCATATGTGTGTGTGTGTGTGTGTGTGTGCATAACCAGAAGGCTGGTGGTTCAAACCCACCAACTGCTCCTCAGAAGGAAGGTTGGGTAATCTACTTCCGTAGTGATACCGCCTCAGAAACCCAAGGAAGGGTAACTATGAGTCAGATCTGACTTGACAGCAATGTGTGATATACACACATACACATATATTCACAAACCTATTAGTCTACCAAATATAGTTATCTTTTATTGGTTTTATGTGTTGTGGATTATTTTCTCCAAGTTTGTGGTTGTCTTTTCACTCTCTTTAACTGTTCTTTAATGAACAGAAAGGTTTTCCTTTTAATGTGGTAAATGTATACATATTTTCATTTATGATTTGTAAATTTTTGACCTGACTAGTTTACAAGAAATTCTTCCCTACTATAAGCAAATATTTTCTAATTATAAATTTATAGATTTACAGTATGGCCTTTCATACTTCATCCACATGGAATTGACTTATGCACAAGGCATAATTAGAGATCTAATTTCAGTTTGTTTCACATGGATAAACAATTGTATCCAAATAATTTATTGATAGCTTATCTTTTCTTTACTTATCAGTGTGGCAATTTGACTCATAGTGACCCCTCCTTGGGTTTTCAAGGCAGTATCTCTATGGAAGTAGATTGCCCAATTTTCCATCCAAGGAGTGGCTGGTGGATTTGAACCACCAGCCTTCTGGTTAGTAGTCAAATATGTTAGGCACTATGCCATGAGCTCCCCTTGTCATTTATCAAATCTGCATTTTCTCTGATGTACTGTAGTCTCATTATAATGCATTTAGTTTTGGAATACTGTGGTTTATACTTTACAGGATTCCTTAGGATTACTGTCTTTGAGAACTAATTGATAATGGCTAATAGTCATTTCAAGAGCGCTGGTGGCATAGTGCCTAAGGCACTTGACTGCTAACCAGAAGGCTGGCAGTTCAAACCCACCAGCTACTCCTCGGAAGGAAAGTTGGGCAATCTACTCCTGTAGTGATACCGCCTCAGAAACCCAAGAAGGGGCCACTATGAGTCAGATTCAACTCAGTGAATTAATATTAATTCCAGAGAAAAAAACTCCTTTTTTGTGTATGTGTTCCCTTTATTAACTCCACTTACGATGTCAATTAAATATATGGTACATCTTTCCAGTCTCTTCTTACATATTTTGCATTCTCCTTCATATTATCTCAATTTAAATGAGCTGAACTTAATTATGGATAATTTCTCCATTTCTAACTTTTAGTTTACTAATTCTTGCTTCAGTGGTTATCTAATCTGCTTTTAAACTCATCCACTGAGTTCTTTTTAAAAATCTATTATGTTATATGCTTTCACAAGTGCTCTGGTTCTTTTTCAAATCCAGTTGCTCCATCCCATATTTAAGTATTTCCTTTACTTCTTCATTATATTAAACTTTGGCATTTTGATTCTGTGTCTGAAAATTTTTATAATAATGACACTACAGGTCTGTTATTTTTACCTATTGTTTGCACTAGTTCTTATGCATAGTATTTTATTTTTTAGAATATTTTTTAGGTTTACACAGAAATTGTGCAGAAATTACAGAGGTTTTGTATATACTTCCTTCCCCCTGCATACTGTCTCTCATATTATTAACATCTTGCTTTTTTTGTGGTATATTTGTTAAAACTGATAAATATTTTGTTTTGTTTTTACTATGAGCTGCTGATTTTCCAAGCACTTTATCTCTGGAAATCATCTGAGGATGAAATTGAAGTTGACTTCTTCCAAGAGGAATAGTGTTTCTTTGTTGCCTATTACCACTGTTAATGATAGAATATTTAGTTAATTTTACCACTTATATTTTTTCCAGTCCACACAGCTAATGTAATTGACATACCTCTCCCTTTCCTATGATTTAAGTTAGTTCTTAATATTTTTAAAAATGTTTAATATAAAATCTTAATAATTTCAGACAGAATGTCATCTAATTTGTCAGAAAGCTAAAACTAAAAATGTACTCACACATATAAACTTCTTTTTCTCTTTCTGTATTTTTTAATCCATAGTTGGTGAGCTATTTATTACAAAAGAGAGGTCTTAAAAAACTTTTTTAAACAATATTTTATTTTGTTTTTGGTGAAAGTTTGCACAGTAAGTTAGGTTCCCCTTTGAAAATTTCCACACAAATTGATCAATGATATTAATTACATTTTTCACATTGTATTAACATTGTTTTCTGATTGTTCCAATTCCAGTTCTCTAGATTGTCTGCCCCCTTGTTGTTCTTGTTGTTGTTGTTATGTGCCATTGAGTCATCTTTGACTCAGAGCCACCCTTCCTTAGGTTTACAAGGCGGTATCACTATGCAAGTAGATTGCCCCATCTTCCTTCAGAGGAGTGGCTGGTGGGTTTGTACCGCCAATCTTCTGGTTAGCAGTCAAGTGCCTTAGGCATTGCCCATTATCTTTTCATTTTTGCTTTGGATTAAATGTTGACCTTTTAGATTCACACAGAATTAAAAAAAGAAAAGTAGAGTACTGATTTAATGGATTATACCCTTTATTTTGTGTGTCACTCTGCTTTTCTGTTAAATGGTGGTCTCAGGAAGTAGTTTTGGTTCAAGGTTTGGGCAGTGTCTCAGGGTGATAGTCTCAAGGAATCTTCTGGTTTCAGTGATCCATTTAATCTAGCCATTTTTAAGAATTTGAATTTTGTTCTGCATTTTTCTCAATTTCTAACCAGTATCATCTCTTATGGCTCCAGTCAGAAAGGTTAGTGGTGGTAGCCAGGCACCAACTAACTCTTCTGGTCTCAGAATAGTTGAAATCATGGCTCATGTAGGTTATTAGCCTTGCACATTTGTTTTTTTTCTTGAGATTTTGGTTACTTTCTTACTCTTTCACTCTGGACAAGTAGAGACCAATAGTTACATCTTAGATGGCCACTCACAAGTTCTTAAGACTTCAGACCCTACTCATTTCACTAGAATGAAGAATATGAAGTTTGTCTATATATGCCAATTGACTGAGTTGTCCCATGAGACTATACTCTGAAGCTTTCAAATCCAAAAAAAGTGATTTCAAAGGGTGTTTGGTTACATCTAAGGAGTATCTGTAGTAGTGTCTTTAATGAATATATCTGTCTATCTGGTGGGGTAACGCCTAAGGCATTTGACTGCCAACCATAAGGCTGGCAGTTCATACCCACCAGCTACTCCTCTGAAGGAAGACTGGGCAATCTACGTCCGTAGAGATATTGCCTCGGAAACCCAAAGAGGGTTCGCTATGAGTCAGAACCAACTTGATGACAGTATCTACATGTATCTGTATTTACATATAGATACTTCTAAGGAGCTCTGAAGGAGCTCTGGTGGCATAGTGCCTAAAGCATTTGACTGCTAACCAGAAGGCTGGAGGTTCAAACCCACCAGCCACTCCTTGGAAGGAAGGCTGGGCAATCTACTTCCATAGTGATACCACCTTGGAAACCCAAGGAGGGGTCACTATGAGTAGTATTCAACTCGATGTTTTTTTCCAAATATAAGATTTTTGTTTACAAGTAAGTTTTTTTCCAAATATAAGATTTTTGTTTACAAGGATTCATAGTGTCAAATTTCTGGGTTCCACCATAGGGCTCTGGCAGAAATACAGCTAGATGACCTTATCTATTTCCCAGAGGTAGATTCCAGACCCATAGAACACTGTCAATAGAAAAAAAGAGTCCAAAATACAAGAAGCTACATTTCCACCTTTTAAAAAACATCTGCAGTTGCTGGGCTCCAACCTTCAAGCTCTGCCACATAAAAACCATGCTGAGTCAACCCTCAGGCTTATGCTGCTTCATAAGGAACCTCATATGCTAGCTATAGGACATTGTCCACATCTTCCATTTTCTTGCTTCTTTGTCTTGGATTATCTCTCAAACTCTTATTCTCACCATTATACATGCTTGGTGTTGGTGACTTATTTACTGGAAGCAAGTTTTCCCTTTCCTTGTTCTAAAACTTTAGCCTTGCTTTCTTCTCTCCAAGATAATTCTCCTCTCATATACCTTTTCCTACTTTGGTCCATATTCCATTTGTTCTTCTCCTAGATCTATGAGTTACCTATTGTTATCTCTAGTCTTTCTTGAGTACCTGGTCTAAATCCATACATTACAGTAAGTAGAATTCAGAAGGGAATTTCTTGCACCTTTAGTTAAAAGTACTCAAGCGAGAATGATAAAAGAGTTACCTGAATTGGCCTTCCATCAGGTGTCAGCACTTCTTCTGAAAGTTCCATCATCTTCAAGGCCATCAGAGCAATGGGTTTCGCATGGCAGAGGCTTTTCCTGTGAAGTCCTGCTGCAACACAGTATGCATCGCCTATTGTTTCCACCTGCAGCAATCAGACAGATCAAATGCAAATATATGATAATGAGTCATAATAGAAATTATTCATTCTCTGCAATCAAAAATGTTTCTGAAAAAGATGTCAGCAAAACATCAATAAATTAAGCAATTAGACAACTGAGTGTAATCATAGCAGAGTTTGCAAACAGCCACAGTCAAATTCTGACATCTCACTCCAGGACTGTTCATCAACATTATCATCCTAGAGGTTCACTGACATTAGGAAGAACTGAAATATAAAATAATTATTCTGAAGGAAAATTGAATCACTGGTATTTCCAAATAATGACCTTTCATACCAAGCCACCTTCTCATCTCTTTAAAATATTTGGGTAGATCTTTTCTGAAAAGCAATTTTTTCCCTAAGTTTTTTTTATCTTACTAATTGTTTCACACTCTGCATTATATCTGCAATTTTGTTGTCAGGTCTACTCGTATCTTTAATGCTCTAATAGCTAACATTTATTGAATTTTCTTAATCTGTATCATTAATTATGTCAAGCACTTTACATGCATTATCTTATTTAGTCTTCACAAATATCCTACTTGGTTGCATTTGACAAATGAGAAATTGAGATGCAGAGATCCAACCAAAATCCTACAACTGAAACATTAATAGGCACTTAACGGTCTTTCCAGATCTTGTTCTAATTCCATGGCCAGCATCCATTATGATTGGCCATTGATGCTGGGAAATATTTTAAATATATCCCAGGCTCAAACCCCCAAATTTCCAAACCATAAAACATGGGATTCAAAATCGGGGCAGAACTTAGTTTTAGAAGAAAGTTCTCTAATTCTCCACTATAGATATAGGAATAAACTCTTCAACAGTTCCAACAATAATAATAAATGCCCAATCAAATATCATCTTTTCTATGAAGTCCTCCATGGTCCTTTCTCAGAAAGAACTAATGTTTCAATTCCCTCTATAATGATTCTGTAGGACAGAGTAGAACTGCCCTAGGCTGTAATCTTTAAGGGAATGGATCATCAAGTCTTTTCTTCTGCAGAGCTGCAAGTGGTTGGCCCAGCAACTTTTCAGTTAGTTAGCAGCCTAGGACTTAACCATTGTGCTCCTGTTGTTGTTGTTGTTGTTGTTGTTATGTGCCGGCGAGTCAGCCCGACTCATAGCGACCCCTCCAGAGCTCCCATTGTACCCCTAGAGGTCTTGTTTTAAATTTACACAGTAAATTATATGAATAAATTGAATTGCATTGTAGTCACCAAACATGCTTATTTTTGGAGTACTAGCTCTTCTTGGGAGCTCTGGTAGCATAATGCCTGAGACACTTGACTGCTAACCAGAAGGCTGGCAGTTCAAACCCACCAGCCACTCCTCAAAAGGATGGTTGGGCAATCTACTTCCGTAGTGATACTGCCTCAGCAACCCAAGGAGGGGTCGCTATGAGTCGAGTCTGACTCCACAGCACATAATAATAACAACAACAACAGCATCTCTTCTTGGACTCTCTTATCATTGACATCATCACCATCACCATATCCATTATATTCTCAGCAAAAATTGAGTTCCACTAAATATGTATTACTGAAGTTTGTATGTATTACAAGAGCAGATAAAGATTAAATTAGATGTTGCCTTTATCTATAGAAGTCTGTAAAGTAACAGCATGTGGAAGATGGGCCAATGCATTACCAATTGATATAACACATAAATCTAATGAAGCACAAGGTCAATGTTGCTGCTGTGCTGTTATGTGCCGTCAGGTCGGCCCCAACTCATATCGACCGCTCCTTGGGTTTCCGAGGCAGTATCACTACAGAAATGGATTGCCCCTTCTTCCTTCCTAGAAGTGGCTGGTAGGTTTGAACCTCCAGCCCTTAGGGTTAGCAGTCAAGTGCCTTAGGCACTATGCTACCAGAGCTCCCCTACAAGGTCAATAGGTCCACAAAAATATAAAAAATTCACATTAAAATCCATACACATTCATGTAAGCTTCTTAGATTTTCATATCTAAATATTTAAGTAAGGAAGGCTTTCAGAAATACAATGATCAAAAACCTAGACAAAGGTATCTTACAAATAATGGCACATATTAAGATGTGGATTCTCACAATAATTCATAAACATCAAACATACAAAAGAAACAAACCCCAAATTGTTGTTTTTCTCAAAACAGGCTAGATTATGCTGCAGTAACAATATAAGTTCCAAATCCCAATGTCCTGAAACAACACAAGTTTATTTCTCTATACATGCTACGTAGTCTGGGGTTAAGGGATTGAGGAGAAGGAAAGAGACTGTGCCACATTTCCTTACTCTGAGAACAGGACTGATGGAAACTCCATATCTGGAGCTGGTTGTCATGGCAAGGGAAAGGGGGTTCTGGCAAATTTTATACTAGCTCTTAAAGCTTTCTCCCAGATGAGACATATACAGCTTCTTCTCATATTTCATTTGCCAAAATAGTCACATGGCCATTCTTAACGTAAACTCACTGCCATTGAGTCGATTCCAATTCATAGTGACCCAATAGGTTAGAGTTGAGCTACCCTGTTGCATTTCTAAGGCTGTAAATATTTATGGAACCAAACTGTCTCATCTTTCCCTCACAGAGTGGATGGTGGGTTTAAAACACTGACCTTTTGGTTAGCAGCTGAATGCTTTAACCAGTATGCCACCAGAGCTTCTTATTCTTAATGTAAAGTTGAGAGAAAAATGAAATCTACCATATGCCCAAGAAGAAAAGCCAGAAATATTTGGTGAACTGGATTAATGACTATATAGAAGAACAGGTAATTGATTAGATGTTTTCAAATATCTTGATATTTGTAAAATGTAATATATCTGTGGGATGTTTTATTTTCCTTCCAGAGGTATTCAAGTCTTAACCTGAATATCTTAGGAGAAATACTATTGTATTAGTAATTGAGCTTTGTATTAAATTACTATTCTTCTCACTTTTCCCTTTATCTAAGTCAGATCTATACATTTTTAGAATTAAATATACATGGAAATTTTAGTAGATCTTCTTCACTATAATCACTTGATTTTGCTTCATGAGAAACAAGGAAATTGACAGCATTAGATATCAATTCCAATTGTTCTTGAGGTTATCTCCTTTAATTAATCAAAGTGAAACAAGCAGACACTATAAACAAAAAGTTGTCTAAAAATTTGACATTTTTTTCTGAATTCCTTCATAATTGCCTCAGTGTTTTTTCCAAAATGATTTAAAATACAACAGATAAAATAGTACATCTCATTGATTTTTAGCATCTCCAACTTGTTCCTGAATGATATTACATAAATATGATGAAAAAGATAATACTTATACAAAAGAATGAAAAACCATATATCCTTTCTGAATAGTAAAGACAAGGCTTCAGAACTAAAAATATTATGTACAATTGCAGTCCTGTGTATTACTACAGCACCTTTCATCAAATTTTAAAGAACTCACCTATCTCAGCATATCTTCTCAACTCCTTATAATCAAAATCTTCACATTACCGCAGAAATAAAGGTGGCGGAAATAAACTTCTTAGAGCTATGCATTCACCTTATTTATTTATTGTAGTTTACTTTTAGATTGATCATTTAAAATAACTTATTTTAGCTTCTAATAGAACCATATTACTGTCACATTCTTCTCCCTACCCTCTGGAATAATGCTCAAGAACTATCTGGAAGGTTTCCTGGAGATCTAGACACAGTGAAGAGGAAGGAAAATGTATTTATGTGTGTTGGGGGGAGGGAATGTCTCAGCTAGCTAGTGCTGCTATAACAGAAATAGCACACATGAATGGTTTTAAGAGACATTTATTCTCTCACAGTATAGGAGACTAAAAGTCCAAATGCAGGGTGCCTGTTCTAGAAGGATTTCTCTCTCTGTTGGCACTGGGAAGATGCTTATTTCCTTTCAACATCTGTGGGCCCAGAGTTCCTTGGAGTTCTCCATGTGTCTTGGTATCAATCTTCCCGTTGGTCTAGGAGGTTCTCAGCACAGGGACCCTGGATCCAAAGGACATGCTCTGCTCCTGACTCTTCTTTCTTGGTAGTAGCAGATCACTGCTTGCATGTATCTCTTTTATATTTGAAAGAGATTGACTCAAGATACAACCTAACCTTATAGATTATATCCTGCCTCAATAACATAACTGCCTCTAATTCTTCCTCATTAACATCATAGAAGTTAGGATTTACAAAACATTAAATCACAAAATGGAAGATAATCCTGAGAATCATGGCCTAGCCAATTTGATACATATATTGAGGGGACACATTTCAATCCATAAGAGGGGGGAAGGGGTATTTGGATTAGGGTGAGTGAGCTCTGGTAGCATAGTGGCTAAGGCACTTGACTGCTAACCAGAAGGCTGGTGGTTCAAACCCACCAGCCACTCCTCGGAAGGAAGGTTGGGCAATCCTACTTCCGTAGTGATACTGCCTCGGAAACCCAAGGAGGGGTTGCTATGAGTCAGGGCTGACTCGACGGCACATAACAACAACAACAACAAATAAAACACAATTAGACGTTTAATGATCTCTGTGCCATGGGACACATGATCATCTCAGTCCTTTAGTTCTGCAGCTCTGGTTCTGTCTTTGTTTGAAATTTTAGCATTTGCTAAAGGAAGTTTGGGGAGGAGGCATAAAAGCAGAGCCAGAAAGCTCTGGCACTCTACATTACCAGACAACCTCCATCTCTTCCTCTGGGAACTATCAAAAGGTGAAACAAATTAGAAAGTCTGCTTTTCTAGTTGCTTTGTTTTCTGTTTTTGAGTTCTAGTGTCTTTAAAGACAGAAAAAGACAGGAAGAGAGCGAGCCAGACAGACAAAGAGATGTTAAATGTTGAAGTGAGATGTAGGCTGACATATATAGATAAACTCCAAAGATGAGAAATGTCTTTTCCTTCCCAACCCTCACAGGGCACCCAGTCAACTGGTTATGTTCAGGTGCATGGAAGGAGGCTAGTAAGCATGGCAAGTTCTTACTGAGCTCATTGTGGTTAAGAATGCTG